ACACTTTAAGATTTTACATATATTTTAAAATTATGAGGTTTTATTTTATGAATTAACAATGAAGAAAACTTCTCAATTACAAAGGACATGTTCACTATAGGAAAAAATGAAATACATAAAAGAACAAAGTAAATGTTAAAAATGATAATGTGTTCCTGTATGCTAATTGGTTGGTTTCAAACACTAATTTTCTGTAATTAATATATATATATATATATATATATATGAGAGAGAGAGAGAGAGAGAGTTTTTTACTATTTATTTTTTAGTTTTCGGCGGACACAACATCTTTTTTTGTATGTGGTGCTGAGGATCGAACCCAGCACGGCGTGCATGCCAGGCGAGCACGCTCCACTTGAGCCACATCACCAGCCCTGTAATATATTTTTATTTTTAATTGGTAGATAGTGGTTGTGCATATTTATGTGTACAATGTGACATTTCAATGCATGTATACCATGTGTACTCACCAGATCATGGTAACTAGCATATCTAGTACCTTAGGCATTTATCTTCATCATTTCATTTTTGGGGTATGGGAATTTATCCCAGTGCTTTATCACTGAGCCACATCCCAAGTTCTTTTTGTTTGTTATTTTGAGACAGAGTCTCACTAAAATAGATGAGGTTGGCTCAAACTTGTGATCTTCCTACCTCAGTTTCCTGAGATGCGGGATTAGAGGTATGTGCCACACCATTCCTGACCATTTCTTTGTATGGGCAACACCCAAAATCTTCTCTATTATTTTGAAATATTCAGTTAATTGTTGGCAGCCATAGCTATTCCACCATGCTCCAGAACATTAAGAAGTTATTCCTCCTGGACAGCTGCACCTCTTACCCATCAACCCTCCTCTCTCCAGCCCTCCACCCACACACTTCTGAGGCTGAGGACTGCTGTTCTATTCTCTTCTTCTTTGTGATATATTTTTTAGCTGGCACAGATGTAAAAACATACAGCATACCTTTTTCTGTGCCTGGCTTATGTCACTTAAACATAATTTCCCCCAATTCCATCCTCACTGTTGCAAATGATAGATTTCATTCCTTTTATGGCTGAAGTTGTTGTTTTTACATATTTTAAGACTACTGTTAGGTACCTACATTTTTGTGACCATTTATATGTTTGTGACCATTTATATATGTTTGTGACCATTTTACCATATCGTATATCCTTCTTTGTCAATATGTTGAGTTTTACCTTAAATTATATTTTATTAGAATTTTTAATTTTTCCTTTGAGATGGAGTCTTCCATGTTGCCCAGACTGGCCTCAAATTCTTGGGCTCAAGCAATCCTCCTGCCTCAGCCTCCAGAGTAGCTGGGAATACAAGAATATGCCACTGTGCCCAGCTATTATTAGCTATTAAAATTGCTACTCTGACTTTCTTTGGTTTATATTTGCCTGATATATCTTTTTATTCTATCTTTTCAATCTTTTCCTGTCATTTAGGTGTGCTCCCTATAGTCTAAGTATTAAGACTAAGAGTTTCTGTCTAGATATTTACTGACTTTTTGTATATTATAGTGAATGACATTTTATTTATAATTATTTTTAATGCTTATTTTTGTCCTATATTATACTTGCCATATGTTTTGTTATTTTTTTCCTTTCTTGGATTTGATTACAAGGCTTAACTTTCT